CAAGACAAGTCCAGACAGCTGCATTTGCTCCAGGTATTCTTCAATAACTGGGGTGGTATAGGACTCCCTATAGTCCAACGAAACCTGCTCCCATTTTCTACCCTTTTCAGGCATCACACCTGTAACCTTTAAATCACAGGAGATTCTCTCTCCACCTTTTCCAGTGTTGTTATACAGTAGCCGTTTCCTCTTGGACTTTTGTCTAGCTATCAACTTGTCCACAGAGACTCTCTGCACGGGCACTAAATTTAATAAAAGCACAACACAGAGAAAAGCTTAAACTGTGTTACGGCTAACATTACTTGATCTGGTGTGTTTTCTCAGGGTATGATGGATAGGCAGCTTGAAGAGGTACTCCGCAGCATTGTGCTATAAGGGACTGAATGAGCTGCCAGAGGAGATCACTGCCTTTCTGATGAGACTCCAGGCTGTTAGGAAGCCATTATGCGGCAAAATACAGCATTCTTCCATCTTCTCCTTATCAAAAGCGCAGGTAAACTAACCTCTGTGCTGTGAGGAACACAATGGCTGCGATCAATACATCAATCGGGAAACGATGCAGTTTGAGACAGCTCAGTCATCCTTCTGGTGAAATAGAAGTTACAATACCTTTATCGTGTGTTAGGCTGTTTTTATGAAGGCCCAGAGTGACTGTGGAGACAGCAGCAGGTGAATTCCCAAGCTTGGCTATGAATAAAATGTGAATCAATAAAAATGTGCGTTTTCTAACAGAATTTTAACAACAAATTCCTAGGATCTATGTGAAGCTTGGGTTATTTCTAAGCTCAAAGATGATAAACTTTATAAAGCACCTCAACTACCGCAGCATCTCACATCCTGAGGCATCACCCGGAGCTGCGAATCATGACTTGTGAAGAGATCCCTCCATCCTGCGGCTGCAGACAAACAAAGCAGCATGTAAACTGAAATTCAAATAAGCATTTAACGATCAGAGGAACTTACATTAGACATCCCTTTGTAAGTTCTGCTAACTGCATTTCAGTTTCACTGGAATATCTCGCCTGCTGAACAACATGATTCAGCTTTCTAAAAGGCTACAGATTTTTTGGCCTATTGAAGGAAGGAAATGACCAAAAAAAATGTTTGTATTAATAAAATATGATGAGATAGGCTTGTGTTGGAGGCAGATTATTCATTAAATTATTCCCAAAACACACGTGAAAGGAACTGTAATGATCTTGTTAAGATCTAATTCTGTTTTTTAGAATTCCTATTTGTGTCAGCCGTGTTCCCATTTTTTTTTAACAAACATCACTTTAGGCAAATTAAAAGCCACCCATGATGATATCATAAAAATTTATCCCTGCACATCAAAGCCAGTCCCTTCTCAGTATCAGCCCACACTGCGGTCATTCCCACTGGGAGGAATGCTGATGAGCCACGGCACTGACTGGTTGGACATGATAACCCAGCATGTGAGCTCACCATTACAGTCATTAAGTGTTCACCAGTGGACCTCGCTGTAAATGAATTTAGCCTTTTCTCAAATCCTCATGTTTTCTCTCCTGCGAGGTTGAAACTGTGGGACAGTTTGAAACAAAAAGATTTAGAAATTGAGCCTAATGTCATTTAATAAGTTAAGTTATAATCTGTTAGTAAGATGTTAATACTGTTTATTGTTATCGAGCTAATGTATTAATTTACAAACATATAACTGAGCAAATTATTGGGTGCACCCCTAATTACTGTATATTTGCTTTCAAGGGCCAGACTTTCTTATATTTTTTTAAAGAGGTCTTTAATAGTACTTTTCTGTAGGTCTTTCAAAGTTTGTCTTTGAACATTTTCATCTTGGATCATTTTCAGGCCAGTCCCCATACCTGACCATTTTTAGAGAAATGCTATTTTTTGTTTGTTGGTTAAGAATTATTATTTATTTTTTTTAATGACACATCACTGAAGGGAAAGACATACCAGAGAACCTAAATTGTATCCTAGGGTCCTGTACGGCAAAGCTATCTTTGTCTTATGTACCCTTATGCACTGCATTTCCATGTATGTTTGCATATTTCAATACATGTATACACCCAAATTCTTGTTTTCAAAAAATATATATTATAAAATATGGGTTGACTTTTGCACAGTATTTAAAAGCTAACTCCATTTTATTTTGAAAAATCTGCAGTTCACTCTCTAGATGAAACATTGTTTTTCTGTCCTTATATCCTCATAAGCTAGACAAATAAAGCCTTTCCTCTGTCAGAAGAAGAAACTAATCCGCTGCTGACTTGGGGGGGGAAAGAAAGAATGGGGCTCTGTTTCAAGATCCCTGTACATCCGCTCTTCTATCCTCATTCCTGCCCTCAATTCCCAAAGCAATCTCAAGTTAGTGCTTCTATTAAAACAATACCACCTCATGCAAATTGCTACTGCCAAGCCCCGTGATTTTGTTTCTGTTACTACTACTGCTCTCCGATGCTTTAATGGAGACTGCACCAACCTGACACTGCAGGAGGTATGTTCAATGTTATCAATAAAACAATCTGATAACGATCGCTGGCACTTTCAGGCTGAAAGGAGCAATATGTGACACTAAACCGATTAGCAGTTCATTGAAGACCGCTGCCAACAAACAAGGGCAATTACAAAACAAAACAAATCTAACCTGCACCTGTACTGCTTCCAGATTGCACAGCTTTTTTGGTATTTAAGCACTGTTATCCTAATTGGCAGGTAGCAGCTCATGCCACAGATACATTTCAATAGTAATGTTAATGACCCGACACACACTGCCGGTTAGCTTCCCTGAGCATACTTTTAAAGGAAAAGCCTTTACAACTCAACACAAGATTTACCTGGTCTGTGCCTTTAGCAACTGTTTAATTAAATAACTGATTTACATGCTGGGCACCTTGGTGCTGCTAACCTCTCCTTACATACATTAGTTATAAGGTGTTACAGCGTGCACAAGGGCACTTGCAGAGTACCCTGTTGAGTTCATTAGGGCTGCTGCCTGCTCCGAGGAATATTCTTGTTTCTTCAGCTCAGACGATTGACTCGGCTGAAGTCAGCTGAACTCTCTTCGTAATGAGGACTTTGCTGCAGGTCTGTTCCTGGACTTTACTCAGCCATTTATAGCTTTATGAATAAAGTTAACTCTTTGGCCTGAGGGAATAAATTGTCAGCTCAGGCCCTCCAGCTACTCCACCCAAAGAATGACATCAAATGCAGCTGTCATCAATGCCGCTTTGTTAGTGGAGTCAAAGGTTGCACGTTATGTTGTAAAAGCAACGTCCACCGATAACTAAACAGAAACCCACAAAACAACCCGAGATGTTTTCAAAATGAACCGAGCACACTGAACTCCAAACCAATTTCAATAGATTTATTATGTAAATTATTGGGATCATGTCTGTGAAAGGCGCTTTATAAACAAATAATATAGTGCTTTTCTACTCTGAGTATTCAAAGTGCTTTTATACTACAAGCCTTTCACCCATTTATTTACATACACACACACACACTCTACAAGCACATTTTTCAATGCCAATTTGCTTTTTATCTAACATTCACAAATTCACACTCCACTGGATGTATTGGGGACAACTTAGGTTTCGATATCTTGCCCATAGATACTTCAACAACTGATCTTTCGATTAGTTAGTAGTAGATCCATTTTACCTCCCGAGCCACAGTCGCCGCTGTGTCCAAATTTCTGAGTATGACTGGAGATAGTAAACGTTTATCATCTAAACTAGAAAAACTTCCATAGGAAATTAACCTTAAGGGCTTTGTATAACTTACAAGATGAAAACAAGCCAGCTCCCAAAGTAAGTTCATTTTAATTTTGAACCTTCTGTTACTTGTGATAAAGTTGAGTAAATCCTAAAGACGGAGCAGTTAAACTGCACCAAAGGGTTAACTTTGGCCCGACTTAGTTCTTGCATACAAGCAGAACACAGCTTGGAAGTACAAGAAGGAACTTCTGAGCCTCTAAACAAATAAGCTTTCTGTGCCACTGTCAGTCATTATGTTAATTCACTAATGCAGATTAAAAAGTAATTGTTAACAATGTTTACACATAATAATCTGCCTTGGCTGACTGCTGTGGAACAGATAAGAATAGGCTGTAAAGATGTCCAGTGTAGGGCTTTATATGCTTCATTACACACTTTTGTTCCCAGTGAGTTAATTTAAATAGATTCTGTGGGCGCAAAACCAACTGTAACCTTATCTTCCCCTTTCATTTTCTCTCACCCGCTCCACGCTCACCTTGTGTACAGTAATGAGGTGTCGGTTTAACCTGCAACTTTTTGTGGAAGTTGACTTTGTGTTGATCAGAGAAAAACCTGAAAGTTTTCTGTGAATGCTCACACAAGCTGTATGTTGCTCAAATATACAGTCTTAGAAAATACTAGCATTCAGAGCAAAGCTTCACTTTACCTTGGCTCGATAAAACTCAAAAACCACACACGACTGTTGTAGAAAGCTTGGGAAAAACGACAGCCTCAAAAATAATCATGCATTATGAAAGTTTTACGTTTTGTTCCAGAGGTAAGAAAACCTATTACACAACCCAAATGAAATTTGTTATGCTAATAACTGAAAATCCAACCACTGAACTGAAGTTCCTCATTAGTATGTCACGCAGTGCACTTGGCTAAGTGTTCATTTTATTTACTTATTTAATATTTTTCAGCTTGGATGCCTCCACTCAACAATTTTCCTGATAACCTCTGGATGTTCAGTGGATAAATGTCACGACGCAAGAGTCGTGCCCATGAACAAACGGAGAGAAGAGAAATCTGTTGAAGGTTTTAGATTAACGATTATGGGTGTTGTGTTGTCTTAAAGTCAAGCGCAAGGACAGGCTTCATTTTTCAATACTGGCAAAGGAAATGCTACATTAGATACTGCATTGAGTTCCAGATACTCGTGGAGACCATCCCTGGATAGACGTGACATTACGACTTCCACTCTCTTCACGTCTTTTCATTCAATAGTGACTTGAGGATAAATGACGCTTCAAAGAACTTAAAGGACACTATGCTCACAATTTATTCAAGGGACATATTTGTGGTACTGACTCTTGACAAACCTCAGAGCAGTTCACACTCCAACAAAGAGAGGTTGAGTAAAAATGGAGGGTGAAACAAAAGCTGCTCTCCCTCAAAGATTGGCACTGACAAGCTGATACTAGTCAATACTAGTGTTCGACTTTATGACTGAATGTGGTAAATTTGACTTCCAATCTCTGAACGAAATAATCAATTGGCCTAATCATCGTTTCTTCTTAAGAATGAGTCAAAACTGAAACCAGATGCAGTGACTTTACAATGGCAGTCAGATAAGGCGTTTTTATTTATTTATTAACATTGCAATTTATAGAGAAGCACTTTTGTCATAAATGCTCACCTGGCAGTTGTTTCTGTATCTATACCACATTGCCTGCACCTTCTGCATCCCCATTTAAGTGATGATTTGTACTTCTCGAGTTATTTTAATGATGCCTAAAAATCTAGGGACAGCAATGCCGTTCTACAAGGAGACCACATCTGTTTCTTACATATGCCACGTGAAAGTACAGGCGACACAGCTGAAAAAATGATATGAGAAATGTTTGTTATTCGGGTGGGCAACCAGTGAAATTAGTGATGAAATCCATCATAGAGCAGGAACAGCAGAACAGAACGAAACAGATCACTGTGGCGTCGATCCGTAAGCTGCCGACATTGTGTGGAGAAGGAAAACATCTATAAAGCTTTTACATTGTGTAGAATGGTTTCTTTAGGATACCAGTAAAACAGTGTTTTATTCTTTCCATTTATGTGCAAGGTATGAGTTCATGGCAGAAATTACAATATAAACACTTCGTGTGCGTATCGTAGTTGAAATAATCGGGGTTTACAGACACTGTAGGGGCATATCCACCTC